CTGTAACTGCTTTCAAATATGATACTTTAGTTCTTTGTAATTAACAAGTATCAAGTATTTGATTTATTTTCCAAATGTTGTTGGCGAGCGTGTATGAAAAGCATAACTAAATAATATCATTACTATTCATGTATTTTAAATTTTTATTAATTTATTACATTTTCATATTAGCGACAGAAAAATAGTGTCATATAACATCTTTTAAGGACCAGGCTTTTCTCAACATAGATAACATGACTTATTAATGAAGAGAATTTTGGTTGTTTAAAACAGTAACTATTACCAATTAACGAAGGAAATATCGTCGCTAAAGAGTACTGAATTGGACTTACATACATTGTTTGGCTTAAAGACCTATTTAACGACATGGAGTAACATCAATCTAGACGAGGGAAACCATCCTGTCGCTTAAAAAGCATGTTCTAACGACCGAAAATTATGCCGTCGCTAAGATGCCTTTAACGACCGGATTGTAAACCGGTGTCGTAACTTTTAACGTCGGGTACTTTTAACGACGGATGACGACCGGATTTTTTGACGTGCGCTAACTAAACTTATAACGAACCCGAATTGGATCTTTCAATCGACCTAGATTATCCCCTCGCTAAAGCCCTCATTTTCTTGTAGTGTAGGTCCCAATAATAGTCAAAACAACAATCAAATGCACGAGGAAGGAATCAATTCAGACCAAACATTTTGATACACTGCAATCTCGCTGCTTTCCCCCCATTCCACATTTCCACATGCACATAATTTCCAACTTTTGCTCATATTTTTTAGTTTAATAGGTGATATTCGATCACTTCCACCCCTTATTACCTCGGCTGACCTTATCACCATAACCCACACCTTATGAGACTTCGTGTTGCATCGCACCGCAATCCGATCCACCGGTACAGCTTACAATTCTTACAAACACACACCAACAACAACTACGACAATTCACAACAAAAATCACCCAACAACACTTCTTATGAACTAACAACAACATTTACCAAGTATTTACATAACCATCAATACCTTATTTACTATTTAAGCCATATTAGACCCAGACTCGCCGACGGTGCATGAGTGAGTTTATCAGATAATGGTATACTTTGAACGACAAGGTTTTTATATGGTAGTGTATCCGTAGGTATTTTACCTCACAGATCAAGTCTATTTTTAATTCGTGGAAATGGAGCCACAAGTTTCATGATAATAGTTCATATGCCAAACCCGACAGTGTAACATGTTAAGAATTTAACCGCATCAGGCATATAGTTGATCACTATAGTTTTCATCAGAAAAGAGCCTAGGGGTATGTAATGACCCGACGGTCGTTTTGAGAGTATACACTCTGCGTAGTTGTTTGATGGCATGAGTAGCTCCGTATGATATATTATGACGTATGTGAATTGTCAGATTTGGTTTTCAGGCTATTCCGAACTGATTTGGAAGAATGATTCTCAACTAGAAGCTTTAAATTTGAAAGGTTTGACCAAGTTTGCATTTTTTGAATTTGACCTTGGATTGGATTTCTGATTGTTCCGTTAGCTCCGTTGGGTTATTTCGGACTTAAGAGCGGGTCCGGTTTGTGATTTGGAGGTCCGTAGTGGAATTTGGTTTGAAATGGCGTAAGATGGAATTTTGAAAAGTTTGACCAGGAGTGGAATTTTTGATATCGGGATCGAATTCCCATTTCGGAAGTTGGAGCTGGTCCATAATGTCAAATATGACTTGTGTGCAAAATTTACGGTCAAACAGACGTGATTTAATAGGTTTCGACATCGGTTGTATCAGTTGAAGTTTCAAGTTCAATGATTTTGAATTGAGGTGTGATTAATCGTTTCGATGTTGTTATGTGTTTTTGGAAGCCTCAAGTAGGTCTGTGGTATGTTATGGGACTTGTTGGTATGTTAGGAAAGGGTCGCGAGGGGCTCGGGTGTGTTTCTGATTTGATTTTAGGTCATTCTTCTTCATGTTGCCGTTGCTGAAGGCTACTGATTCAAGTGTTTATGCATTTGCTGAAGAATGC